AGCAAAGTCTTGGAAAATCTCCCTTTTGCTCTATCTTTTAGATGAGAATTTGATCTAAAGAGCCATTGTTGGTGGGAACACACCTACGGTGCATTTTATAAGGGTACGTGTTAAATTTACTAAGTCTAGAGTATAAATGTCTGAATAGAATAACTAAGAAAATGCGGCGAAGGCTGTATTAACCAGTTTGATGAAAATATTTCAAATGGTGTATAAAACTAGCACTTTGTACCCCATGATTGCATTAATGTACACAGCTATGATTTAATAAAAAAAAATGCCATTGTTGAATATACGTATAATATCTTCGCACTTTCCTATTATGATATGCAGTTATTCCTGAGTATGTGCAAGGGACTGGTTTCAGGACCCTTACAAAATCTGCGATGCTCAAGTGCCTTGTATAAAATGGTATGGTATTTACATGTAACCTCACATCCTCCTGTATATTTGAAATCATCTCTAGATTACTTACTATACCCAAGACAATATAAATGCTATGTAAATAGTTGTTACACTGTATTGGTTTGTATTTGTATCGATTGTATTGTTATTTTTCTAACATTTTTGATTCCTGATTGATTGAATCTGTGGATGTGAAACTTGCAGACATAGAGGTTGACGGTACTTCCTCACCTCCCCCACAGCGTATTCATCTTCATGGCAGGTGACCAACACGGCGGAAATGAGCACTGATAAACGCTCACCTCACTGGGAATTATCTCTTTGTTATCACCACGTTCCCATTTAATGTGTTTATGACCTCTACGATTCATATAACAGTCTCATTAAGTATGTCAATAAGTTCCAGGGGAATGTGGATGCACTGAGATCTTTCAAAATTTTGGAACAACACACTATATGCTGGTGACTCTCTTTCACATCAATACTGGATTCCACTCCTGGTCCTTCCCTACAAGAGCTGAAACCATGCACTTAAGAAGCTGGTCAGGCATGAATGATGTCATTCCTGCTGAACAACATTTAACAAGAAAGGCTAGGCTGGGCATGGTGGCTCATGCCTGTAGTCCTAGCGCTCTGGGAGGCTGAGGCAGGTGGATTGCTTGAGCTCAGGAGTTTCAGACCAGCCTGAGCAAGAGTGAGGCCCCATTTCATAAAAAAAAAAAAAGGAAAAAAAAAAAAACTAGCTGGGCATTGTGGCAGGTGCCTGTAGTCCCAGCTACTTGGGAGGCTGAGGCAAGAGAATCGCTTAAACCTAAGAGTTGGAAGTTGCTGTGAGTGGTGACAGCACAGCACTCTACTGAGGGTGACATAGTGAGACTCTGTCTCAAAGAAACATAATGAAAATAAATAAGTTAATAAATAGGAAAGGCTGGCAGTTGGGCAGTGCTGCCCAGGATAAGAGGTGACTACACACATAACAAGCACACGGGATCCCTACTCGTCATCCAACCATCCCATTAAACAACTTCTGCAGTTCCCAAAAGACAATGCTGTGTCCCTACCAAAAGATATACATCCTTTGAATGAGTGAAACCCATCCCAGTCCCCAACAGACATGATGATAACCTGAGTATAGCTGGCAAAATAATGGCCCCCTTAAAGATGTCCACATTCTAATCCCCAGAATCTGTGAATATGCCCTGTTACATGGCAAAGGGAAATCAAGTCTTGGGATGGAATTAAGACTGCTTATCACCTGACCTGGAAATGGGAGTTTAGGGCAACGCCCATAGCTCAGTGGATAGAACACTGGCCATATACACTGAGGCTGGTGGGTTCCAACCCGGCCCGAGCGCCTGCTAATTAAAAACCTTTCTACCTGACCTTTGAGCTGATTGCCGATTATAGGTCAGAGGCTTCTCCCTGTTGCAACAGTCCCCTTCCTCCTGTTGCAGTGGTTCCCTCAAATAAAGTCTCTTTTTGCCAGAATCTGGATTTTTTTGGGGGGGGAGGGGCAGAGTCTGACTTTGTCGCCTCTAGTAGAGTGCTGTGTGGCGTCATAGCTCACAGCAACCTCAAACTCCTGGGCTCAAGTGATTCTCTTGCCTCAGCCTCCTGAGTAGCTGGGATTACAGGCACCTCCCACAACACCCGGCTATTTTTAGAGGCGGGGATCTTGCCCTTGCTGATCTCAAACTTGTGAGCTCCTGTGATCCACCTGCCTCGGCCTCTCGGAGTGCTGGGATTCCAGACATAAGCCACCACGCCCTGGATTTGGTTTTTAATCTGACACAGTCTTCCTTGGTTCCAATGTACAGCAGCCCCTTGATTTCCCTTTGGTAATCAGGATCAATCACTGGTAGATTAACTCCTCTTTATGCCCGTTTGTTCAGTGGTACTACAAGGAAACCAAAATGGCCAGGTGGCACTGTCAACTTCCTATTCAGCAGAACCATTATTGTGCCCTTGGTGGAAGCATTCCCACCTTGGGAACTAATAGCTCCAAATCAGCAGAGCTCAAAATTCCTGGAATGGAAGGGAAAAATTCACAAATTGGGCTATTAGGTCTAATTGCAAGAGAAACCACTCCCACCCCCACTTCCACTCCCAATCCTTCATTGTCCAACCTATATACTCCAGCCCCATGTTATGGTCCCTCATTTAAAACATAAACTGCATCCCATGCAGTCAGGATGAGATGTTTCCTTCCAATTGACATTGTAACTGAGTCTTCAGCAAGCCATTCCACCTCTCAATTGGACCAGCTGTTTCTGGGCAACGCAGCGTGACCAGTTATATCCATGGGGTGAGATGCGAGGTAGTACCCAATGCTATGATGATAGATTAGGCATACCATGAGTTCATAGATGGTGGGGCTGGGAGAAGCATTAACAGTAGGGAAGAGAAACCCATGTTTATATTTGTATCTAAATCTATATAATCTATTTTTAGTGAAGATGAATACTTGCGTCCCCCCCCCCCGCCCCCGGTACGGCGGAAGAGGTTCAATGTGGTCAATCTGCCAGCAGGTGGCCCGCTGGTCCTCCTCAGGAATGGTGCCACATCTGCGGCACGGTGTTCATCTCTGACGTCAGCAGGTTCGGGATTCAAGATAGCTGTAACCAGCTCAGCCTTTACGCGGGGAAGTTCATGTCGTTTGCCCCGGCTCAGCTTCCACCCCGCCACCTCAGCCACTTTGTTCACAGGCCCACCGAGCAAGAACTCAGGTGCCTGGAGCAAGAAGTTGACTTTCAAAGATGCATCCGTTATTTTCACAGTCCGTGCCCACTCCCCCATTCCAAGTCTTCGATCCCCATACCTCTTCCCCAAACTTCAGCTCCACTCCCAGCTGCGAGAAACAGCAGAGCCCCTTCCTCCTGCGATGTCCCTCCATCGCCCTCTGCTGGGAAAGCTCAATATTTACAGTGCACGCTGTAAAGGAGAAATGTCTCGAGTGAATCTTGTCCGTTATCCCAGAATGTGTCTTAACGGATCGATTTGGAGCTAAGAGACAATACACTGATAACTGGCACAGCCTCCTCGCTTCAATATAATCAATACATCATCCCATTTGACTCGGAGTACTGTTTACCTATTGAGCTAGTAAATTCTGAGCCTCAGTTTTCTGACCCTTGCCAAATAGCTCAAAAGGCATATTCCTTCACTTTGGATCCATCTGTAATGTGCAAGGCTTAATATTTGCATGTTTTCAGAAACATATTCCCCCAATACTAGAAAGTGACTAGGTCCCCTCATAACCTTGCCTAGAACTCTTGATTCCTTCTTTTTCTACCCCACAGAATATTTACTTCTCCTAAAAATCCAAAATCAAGATATATGTATGTTCATCCCACAGTTGTGGACGCTCCCAAACAGGTGATGGGCTAGCTCCTCTGCAAAGCTTAGGCTTTAAGGCCCTACTGAGAAAAGAAAGATATTGAGAGTTTTCATACTAACCTGCCACTCCCTTTCCTTCCGGTCTTTTTGGTGCAGAAAATGTGCCCTGATATGCATTAGGAAACAAAAGCTGGTGGTCACGAGAGTACCAGAAGCTGGCCTGATGCAACAATCACTTTCTACACTTGAGATTTGACTACTGCTCCAGGGCCATGGGTGTCATGGGCACCAGCAGCTTCTGAGATGGGGTAGGCATCAGTATGTCCTCTGGTCTCTGTGCAGGGTAGGTAGCCTTTTGCCCTGGTTTACCCAGAAAGCTTACAGTGGCAGCAAAACACGCACAAGTGTGCCCCCAATTCTGACAAGCCTCTGTGTGGTTTGGAGGCAGATATTTTCTGCTCTCTTCAATAAAAATTGCAAGCCCTGGCTCGGCGCCTGTAGCTCAGCTACTAGGGCACTGGCCACATACACCAGGACTGGCGGGTTTGAACCTCGCCCAGGCCTGCCAGACATCAATGACAACTACAACAACAATGACAAAAGGCCAGGCATTGTGGCGGGCGCCTGTTGTCCCAGCTACTTAGGAGGCTGAGGCAAGAGAATCGCTTAAGCCCAGGAGTTTGAGGTCTCTGTGAGCTGTTGATGCCACAGCACTCTGCCAAGGCTGACATAGGGAGACTCTGTCTTGGAAAAAAAAAATCTAAAGCCTGTTGTTCTTCAGCCTCTCCATATACAGCAGCCTGGTTCATTACATCATAGACCACTTTGCTTTGGATTGGCTCCTCCCATCTCTCACAGCCCAACTGCTCTCTCCTCCAGCCTCCAAAACTTCTCCATTTATTGGCACCCTCCAATCAGAAGCATCCCCAAGATTGCCTGTTGCCAAATCATCACATTCTTAAATTGTCTCTGTTCTTGCTTCTTGCTCACTCCTCTTTTTTTTTTTTTTTGAGACAGAATCTTGCTATATTGCCCTGGGTAGAGCTCCGTGGCGTCACAGCTCACAGCAAACTCTTGTGCTTAAGCGATTTTCTTGCTTCAGCCTCCCTAGTAGCTGGGACTACAGGTGCGCGTCACAACACCCGGCTAGTTTTTTATTTTAGTTTTTATTTGCATATGGAACACAAAGTGGAGCTGTCCAGTAAGGTCATGTGGCTATAAATAACTGAAGTATTCTGCTGAACAATCAACTGACCAGAGCTCCAGTGGCGCAATTGGTTAGTGCATAGTACTGATATGATGGAATACAGTCATGCTGAGGTTGTGAGTTCGAATCTCACCTGGAGTACATTGTTCTTTGTTTTGGTTTTTTTTTTCCATTTTTTAAAAATTTTATTTCGTTGCTTATTTTTTATTTCTTTCCTTTTTTTTTTTTTTTTTTAGTTAAGACAGAGTCCCACCCTATACCCCTGAGTAGAGTACAGTGGCTTGGTAGCTCACTGCAACCTCAAACTCCGGCTTGTGGCATCCTGCTGCCTCAGCCTCCGGAAGCTGCTGGGATTACAGGCCCTCGCTGCAGCGCCTGGCTGGGTTTTTCCATTTTTTTCATGAGTCGGAGTCTCACTTTCACTCAGGCGAGTCTCGAACTCCAGAGCTCCAGCGATTCTCCCTCCTCAGCCTCCCACAGTGCTGGGATTACAGGCATGAGCCATCGCGCCTGGCCACATTGTTTTTTGTTGAGACAGTTTCACTATGTCCCCCTCGGTAGAGTGCCGTGGTGTCACAGCTCACAGCAACTTCAAACTCTTGAGCTCAAGCCATTCTCTTGCCTCAGCCTCCCAAGTAACTGGGGCCACAGGTGCCCACCACAACGCCTGGCTATTTTGTTGTTGTTATTTCAGTTGTCACTGTTGTTTTAGCTGGCTGGCTGGGTTGGAACTCACCAGCCTCTGTGTATGTGGCCAGCGCCCTACCCACTGAGTCACGGGCGCTGCCCTCGCTCATTCAGCTTATCCACATGCACCTGAAGACTTTCCTTCTCTCAGCAGCCCAGCCCTCCGCAAGTGTTGGGATGATAGCAGTTGTACTGTCAAGGCGAATCCTTACATACTAAAGCTCCACACTGGTGTCATGTGGGGCCCTATGGTGAAGAGACTAGGGATCAGGTTCTAAAATCACTCCTGAACTTGATAGGAATAAGACATTTTTAATTGAATCATATCAGCCACTTGGATTGTCCTCTCATGGCCATAGATATATATTTTTCCTTTTGGGATCATTTTAATAATTCTAAGGGAGAAGTTGGAGTTCAGCAGAGAGAAGTACAAGTAGGAAGTGAAAAGTTTGCTAAGCAGAGACAATCCTGTAGCAATAATTATGACCATTATTGAAAATGATTATCTTCTCTAAAGGATTTTCAGTTTCCTCTTTTAGAAGCTTCTAATTTTCTTCTTGCCCTTTTCATTTTATAAGCAATTATCTGTAAGTACAACTGAAGTGCCAGGGATCTGAGTTGTTATTCTTAAAACTGAAAACTATGAAGTCTAAGGAATAAATGGGAAAATTGATCATACTTTTCACATGCTGCCTCTGTGGGTTTTGTTGTTATTTTTAAGGGTGTGATTTCTATTAAAAAGGAAAACAAGCTATTGAAGCTACCGTGTTTGTTTTCATTATAAGTCATCACATTAACCATTCTTTTTTTTTTTTTTTGAGCCAGAGTCTCACAAGTCGGTAGAGTGCCATGGCATCACAGCTCACAGCAACCTCCAATTCTTGGGCTTACGCGATTCTCTTGCCTCAGCCTCCCAAGTAGCTGGGACTACAGGCACTTGTCACAACGCCCAGCTATTTTTTGTTGCAGTTGTCATTGTCATTTGGCCTGGGCCGGGTTCAAACCCACCAGCCTCGGTATATGTGTAACCACTGTACTACTGGCACCGAGACTGTTCTTTTTTTTCCTTTGAGGCAAGATCTCTGTTTGTTGTTGCCTGGGCTGGAGTGCAGTGGCATCATTATAGTTCACTGCAGCCTCAAAGTACTGAGCTCAAGATGTGAATTAACCCAATCCCTTCCTACATTGTCAATATTTTAGAATTCTAAAGTTCTTTTTTTTTTCTTTTTTCTTGATTCCCTCAGGAAAGCTACAGGTCAAAATTAATGATTTCCAGTTTGGTAAGTAACTACTAGCTTTGAAGAACTCCCCACCTTTCCATTTCCCTCCTCCTTCCCATCCCTCTTCTCTGTGTCACACCCCCCCCCTTTCCAATACCATCTCTCCACAGAGTTATAGGCAGTTTCGAAGCAAATTGCTTGAGTCTGGCTTCCTGGGAAGCCTAGATATGACATATTCAGTGATGTGCTGGGACTGATTTGTACTGGTGTGAGGTTATTGCGGACATTCCTTCCCAACCTCACATTTAGTGACATATGTTGGGAACTTGAACTTGGCGCCTTGGGAGCTTTTACTCCACAGAAGCTGGTCAACAGTACAAATTAGGTGTTTTCTTTTTGCTTTGCAGAGATCTGGTTGTTAACCGTTTACCAGCACACATATCCCTTTTGGGTTCTCATCTGTTTAGACATGGACTCTCTTCCTGAACCTGGTAGGAGTATATTTGGTTGAAAACCCAACTGAACAATAATGTAATAGCTTGGTCTCATAGCAGGTGTTGTTGGGGGTCATCCTGTTTGTACTGTAGTGGCTCGACTACACCATGAGGAGTCATGCTTTTGCATTCATCCAGCTCTACCCTCCTTAGCATGTTGGCCCAGTGGCTCCTTCTTTCAACCAGGTATTGTGCACCCACACAAAAGACTGTGCCCATGGCCTCCAATAGCCTCAAGATATCCTGGTAAACACATGCATAGCTCTTCGACCTTTGCAGTCGAGAAACGCAAGAGAGAAGGTGGAAGGGATTGGATTTCGGACGAGAGAGCCCCAAATACATTCATGCCTATTTGTCCCCTGATGTTAGAAAGATTGAGAGTCAGTAGAAAGAATGAGTTAAATAAAGCATGAAAGGACCAGATGCTTTTACTTCATTTCTTCTAGAAACAGTTGTGATGTTGTGGTCCCAAATTTGTTGCACGGGACATACCTTTATGTCCTCAAATGCCAGAAGTGCAGAATATTGTTTATCCTTTGTATGCTTCATTTGCACGCAATGGTTTGGGCACACATTTTGGCCTGGGAACGGGAGTCTTTGTAGAGGCTATCACAGAGCCTCTGGAGCTGCCTGTGCTACTCATAACCTGATGCTTTTATAACCTTTTATGGGCTCCTTGATCTGAGGTCTTTTCTCACAAATCAAATGCTTTTATATCCTAGCATGTGCAGTCCTAGCCAGATGGTGACAAGTCTGGTGACAGCCAGGTCTCCAGTGCCTGTGACCCTTTCTCTTCGAGTCCACCTTCCAATCCACAGCGTGTGGTATCGGTTTTCTCTTGCTCTTCAGTGAGCGTGATACAGCACTTACTGCCAGTGATGACCTGCATTTGAGCTCGTTCTCTAAGGCAGACTGCAATTTATAAACTTCCAGTGGAAACATTCAAACACACAGAAGTTGAAAAGTAATACAAAGAAACTTCATGCGTCGCCATCATTTACAACAACCATCAGTCTGTAGTTAGTGGGGTTTAGCTTGCTGCCCTTTCCCTCTGCCTAACGGCGTGAGATCATTTTGAAGCAAAATCCAGATATCATAACATACTTAAACACATGTGACTGTGTAGAGGAGCTTGGCTTTTAAAAGAAGGCGTAGGAAACTCTATGAATGAATTTCGTTAAATATGCAATTTACAGTGAGTAGCTGTTTAGGGTGGAAATGTTTTCTTCTTTTTTGGTGAGCACAGGGTGGGTGGAAATGTATACAGAGGACTGGTGGCAGGTTCTGCCTGTAATATTTTATAGAAGGCTCAGTCCTGTCCTATCATACGTATCTTTCATCTCATCTTGATTATAAATTCCTACAAGGAAAGAGAGTGCCTGTATTATTCGCAGTATGTCTTCAGCTTTTCAAGGCAGTTTGCTTGTTTTTCAGAAGCTCTAGGCCTGTGCTACGCTGATTTTCTACGGTGTCAACCTTGTATACATGGTTCCGTCTCAGTTATCTGTTATATACCAGGGTTTCAAAACGGTGTTAGTTTCCAGGCTTCCATATTTTAAAATGAATCACAAGTTTGGGGCTACTTAGTTATAATTCTAAATGTATTCTGCCTCTTTATTAGACTATCTTAGGCTCCAGCATCTGGTAATAAGTTGCCTTCTTTATGAAGGGAAAAAAATCAATACATTGTTACTGATGTTTTTCCAGACGAAATGAATGGATTAAATCAGATTTTACCTCACTACGAAGTTGATTTTTGAATAGTAGATGGGGGTCATGAGACCCCAAGAACCGGGTGTTTCTGAAAAATTTTAATTACCTGATTTATTTTAGACGAAACAGCAGTGGCCGAAGTGACTTTGTTCTCGGTGACCTAATCTGGAACTGGAGGCTATGCTGATGACGTCTGGTGGCTGCCTGCCTTCCAGGCAGCTATGATAAAGTAGGCTAATGGTAAAGTAAAGTATCTTCTGCTATTGAGCGTTAAGATCATACTTCATGTTTTGCAAAGTGCTGTTTCATTATTTATTCCTCACAACCTACCTGTGAGATCTCCTGGCTGTCTTATCTCCCATATTGTAGCTGAAATATGACTAACTTATGTTCATAAATGCTTCCAGAAGCTGAAATGAATATAGGTATTTGCTGACATACAGACACCCAGCATTCCAAATGCTCAGCCTGCCCTGCCCTTGGAATGGGGGCTGCAGCTCCCCCAGAGAGTGAGGAATAATTCCATTTCCCTGTTTGGGAAGTGGGTCCTGGCCCGGCAGGGTTGGGAGTCAAAAATGAGATGAGTAAGGGCAGGGGATTATACTCTTGCTTCTGGTCAACCGAACATTCGCATTGCTATAAACACATTGCTCTACTCCCCGTGTCAGGGAAGGACGTGAGACTCTCTGGCAGCAGGCATGCAAGGGAGGGTTATCTGTTTTGGAGCAGCTCCCTTTTTCTTGTCTAAGGCTCCCTCTGTTGATAATCGATCACATTCTTCTCTAGAGGAGGTTCTCGAATACAACAGTCTTTAGGCACAAACTGGTTCGGTGACACAGGGAGAGGTTAATGACCCGTGTCTTGTCTGTAGCTGCCAGGGTGGGCATGCAGTAGGAGACACATGTTTGTACATAGAGCCTCTGTTGTTCTTGGTATGGAGAGTGGTGCCATCTCAGCAGACCTAGGTTGCTATGGCTCCCGACGGCTCGCAGTGCGGAGTATATTCCTTCTGCAAGTCCAGAGTTGC